CGTTTACAAGCCATATAACTTGTTAACCGCCCATGAAAAGGGTGCCGAGTCCTCCATAAACTTTGAATAGGATGTAGTGGGCCTGATTATGAAAAAGATAAATTACTAAATGCTTTTAAAAAAAAAAAATGTTTGAAGAAGAAAGTCTTCATTTACCTCCAATTCTGCAGCTTATGTTTTTTTCTTTGGACTCAACAGATTTCTATAAGCATTAACAGTAGTGTCGTGAGAATGTCTATGGAGCCTGTCTAATTATAAACTCATTAGTTTACAAACTATATTTGGGGTCCTAATACTGCATTAATGGGGACTACTCATCTTTACCTCCAGTGTTTGCATGTCGAACAGGTGAGCGACTCTAGGTTGGCGTTCTCGTTCCTCCTCTAACGATGATGTGAGAACATGAAAGAGCTCATGAGCATCCTGAGGAGAAAAGGCAAATATAATGCAAAATTATTTCAATGACATTTTAAAAACCTAACATTTGAGCTAGGGATGTAAAACATAAGTCATTCCTCCATTTTTAGGTGAACTATCCCTTTTAAAAAATATATAACATTCTGGAAAAACTGTAAAATATGCAACTGCATTGTTGTTGAAAACATCTTACCTGTTCCTCGAAGGAGCTGATGTGCCATCTGTAAAGTCTGAGAGCTTCTAAAAGGCCTCCCGCATCTAAAACGTCATCTTCTCCAAGAACGTGACCCGACAGGGCTGTACAAAGCAGGGAAGATGGAGAGATCACCCTGTTAGTGTGCATTAACATTTTGTGCATTTATGCTATCCGTTAGTGAATGGGAAATAACCTTTAAGTAACTGCATCAGAGATCTGGACAGATGAGTCTCTCTCTCAGTTCTCTCCGGATGGATGCTGTTTTCACTTGTAAAGTCCTCAAGCCATCTGATGAAGGAAGGACATGCTGCCAGGCCCTGGAGTAGTGAGTTCATAAAGCATGTGTTCCCCAGATTAAGCAGACCAGGAACCATTCCTGCGAGAGAAATTACACATTTAATAGTAATGATAACAATAATAATAATAATAATATGATGTATTATTACTATTAAGTAGACCAAGAAGCATATCTGTGAGAGAAATAATACATTTAAGCGATGAATTGTCAAAACACACCTGCAATCTCTATAGCTGTCACTATATTTATAATATAACAGCCTTGAGCCTTATTGCTATCATAAAATGATTACTCTTTATATTTTATACTTGTGAACATTACAGTTTTTCCTCGATTGCTTAAACACATTTCTTGAAACTATGCCTCGTATTCTCAAAACAGTAAACACAAATCCATAACGTCTCACCCAATTCCCCAAACATCCTATTTTCAGGTCAAAATGAAGCTCTACACTCAAAACCATTAACTCTTGCTGAAAAACCAAACTTTTCCCTCAGACATCACACACAAGCTTTCAAAAGCACACACATTACAACATAGTATTACACACTGGTGCAATAAATTCAAAACAATATATCCAAAACTGGTAAGTTATGTTGCTTGTGGTTCTCCCCCTCAAAAACCTTTTCACATTAACACAAAAGACACAACCAATGTATACATTGGCACATTTTTATTCATTCATGTACTACACAGCACAACTGTAAAAAAAATAATAATAATAATTATCCGCCTCAGCATCCCGTCTTTGTTCTGGGTCAGGCCAGAGAATCTCGTCCACATCACAGGCTATATTGGCCCTAGCCAAGCAGCGAGGGTAAAATCCTCTAGCATGCCTGATCCACCCCTGGCATGCATCTACTGATATGTCTAGGCAGGCTTCTTCCATGGCCTGGAGGAGGTGAGCACGGATATAAGGTTCTCGGTCATACACTTTCAACCACCATGCTGAAAGAAACTCCTCTATCAGGTTTAGAAAGAGAGAGTATGCACGCAGAAAGATGTTAGAAAACCTCGGGTTATTGGTAAACCAGTCACGAACCAGAGCAGCTAGTTAATGCAGCTGCACGAATATTTCAAATACAACGATTGAAAGAGTGACAGCAAACACATCTTTCTCTCTTCTGACCAGATGTGATCAATCTCCCCATATTTTTATTTCATTTTTGGAAAGGCATGGAAATGTCGTTGCAAGGGGCAGAGGCAGCTAATGCTTTTAATTATTTATTAAGATTACAAAGGCAAATAATAAATAATTTAGAATAAACACTGCTTTTAGATTCTATAAAAAAACAACAACTGTCCATTTTAATTTAATGGTGATTTTAAACTTACTCTAAGATTTTAAATCACCCAGAACACAGACAACTCACCTTTTTTCTTTTTCTTCCTGTCTGAAATTGGCCCCCATAGTACATAGACTCCAGCAGCCATGGCAGCAGCTATTCCACCAATTACACCCCAGTTTTTCATCATCTTGTTCCTGAAACAAAAAAGAATAATAAAAAAAAGAAGTGCTTTATAGTGTTGGTTGTAGCCAGCACAGACAACTGTAAAGAGCACATGAACAGATCATCACATGTAGACTGATCACAAACAAACATGCCAGAGGGACACCTGTGACAGACAGCAGACTAACTGTTACCTCTGACCTTGACAGCTGTGTTTGCATTAAGCTTGGCTCTCCAGCAAAAGACATCATTACACAACATACTTTTTTAGGGAAAAGCAGAACATACAAAACCAAATCTCATGCTCAGATTCATGCTGAATGCTGAATTGAAGCTTTCTGAATCATTAAATACCTATGAATGGTATTTTAAAGACAGATGGAGTAGTTTTAATAAGCTACTGCTGGCTATCAAGCATAGTCAAGCTATAAAAAAAACGTCCGAATACATTTATTACAACACTTTTGTTTACTGGATCTATAACAAATAAAAGTAAAAAAGGACAGATCCACTTGTTCATTCATTTGTGATGATCAGTGAACTACAAACACAGCAAAGCGAATGTCTGCTGGCCTCCGATGCAACAGCTGCCACAATCTTTACTGCCTTTCCTACGTCTATCTGAGCTACACCGATACAATATTCAGCCGTCATGTCACATGTTTTTATACAAACTACAACCTTGCAGCGGTTCCAGTGCTTAAGAACTCTCGGACAAGCTTGTCTGTATAGCTCCCTGTTTGCACCAAGGCATATTTCACTGCGCCCGCATGTGCGGAACTCAACATTGCGCATTGTTGCGCGACGGACCATCCGCGGAGCAGGACGAGTCTCGATGCCGTAAACGGAAACGATGAAAGGCTGAGAAAGCTGAATTTATAAGCCAACATGAGGGTTTGTTTGTAAAATAAAAGTACAGAAATGAATGAATGAGAGCGTTTAGTGTTCAACATTCACCTTAACGGTTTAGGACAATTCAATTCTTAGGTACACAAATTAGCTGCATAATAACAGAAACACCATATTATGGTTTTAATAAGTGAAACCAGGTCATAGACCCGACAGAAAATACACTTTGGATTAAAAAGCCATGAAGACTTTAAATATGTGTGAGCTTTTAAAGGATTTATATGTGTATTTGGATTTGTTTTGTGTTCCTAATGAACTATACGAGTAGACTTAAAAGCTGACAACAACTTTGGCATTTCACTCAACACAAACTAAGTATCTTTAGTGGTTTGTTTGTTTATTTATTTTTGTCATCTTTCTCTATGGGTATTTTTTTTTTCGCCTGGCTTTCTAACTTATCCGTCCTTTATTTGCAAATCTGCACATTTCGATTGAAAAAAGGTAATGAAAGTTAATAGTTTGTATTCATTCTCTCTCTCTCACAATATGCTTGATTTCCCATCCAAATACCCACTTTTACACACACACACACACACACACACACACACGTATATCTATCTATCTATCTATCTATCTATCTATCTATCTATCTCTCTCTCTCTCTCTCTCTCTCTCTCTCTCTCTATATATATATATATAGAAGCCTAGAAGCCTTATTAAAAAGACTTAGGCCAGGTTTCACAGACAGGACTTAGACTAAGCCAGGATTAGCCCATAGTTCAATTAGGACATTTGTATAAACATGTCTTAGAAAAAAACATTAGGCCTACTGGTATGCATCTTGAGACAAAACAGGGCACTGACATATTTTAAGATCAATCAATCAGTTTGTTTCAGTTGAAACAGCTCAGACTTACATTTTAGTCTGGGACTAGGCTTAAGCCTGTCTGTGAAACCAGGGGTTATCCATCAACTCTTACCATCATAACTATGCTTTATTTAAATAACATCATCCTTTCAGTAAATATCTTTTTTGTGTTTTATTCAATTTGTCAGTAGATCTCCAATATTCAGCTCTATAACCTTTAATTTTGCTTTAGCCTTTTCAGCTTTATATTTTTAGCTAAATCCAAACATATTTATTTTAGTTTGAGATGCAGTTTATTCATATTCTCTCTCTCTCTATATATATATATATAGAAGCCTATACTTTATTAAAAAGACTTAGGCCAGGTTTCACAGACAGGACTTAGACTAAGCCAGGATTAGCCCATAGTTCAATTAGGACATTTGTATAAACATGTCTTAGAAAAAAACATTAGGCCTACTGGTATGCATCTTGAGACAAAACAGGGCACTGACATATTTTAAGATCAATCAATCAGTTTGTTTCAGTTGAAACAGCTCAGACTTACATTTTAGTCTGGGACTAGGCTTAAGCCTGTCTGTGAAACCAGGGGTTATCCATCAACTCTTACCATCATAACTATGCTTTATTTAAATAACATCATCCTTTCAGTAAATATCTTTTTTGTGTTTTATTCAATTTGTCAGTAGATCTCCAATATTCAGCTCTATAACCTTTAATTTTGCTTTAGCCTTTTCAGCTTTATATTTTTAGCTAAATCCAAACATATTTATTTTAGTTTGAGATGCAGTTTATTCATATTTACAGACATTTTTGTCTCACTGAAAATTAAATCTTAATATAATTTACTAACAAAACATTTTGGAAATATTTTTATTGGAATGACAAATATAGTTGCCTACATAATATTTAAAAAAGTGAATGGAAAAAGTCAATAAAATGAATGGGAGGCAAAGTGTATTGTCTTGATTCATCATCTCCAGAACATATTCGCAGTTCCCTCCCGGTATTTTGGGATGACACGGGCGTTCCAGCCTTTGCAGAGATCCAGCACGACCGAGCGACGCCACCAGCGACACGACAGGCGCAGAAATCATGGACGCTCCGCGCCACACCGCCCCTCTCTGAGCTCTGAGCTGTCCTCACGCCCGTGGTGCTGAAATCAGCCTCGACCCGACAGCAATGTAACGGCAATGAGACAAAGACACCGGCAGCCCGACGAACAGACCGATAATGGACGATGATTTGTTTCAGTTAAGACAGCTCCCGTGAGTCTGCTTCCTGTTTCTTTCATCCGCACGCGACCTTAGCCATCATGCAAACACTCTCTTCCCTTCATTTAAGCCCTTTTAGAGATCTACTACTAGAATGTGCCGTACACAATGTGACATTGATATTCATGCAACTTCTTTGAAAAATCACTGCTTACATAACGGCTGTTGTAGCGTAGATGTAGGCTGATGTAGAATATGGATATTTGGGCTGTATGGAGTGGCAAAGGTGTATGTTTGGTAAACAGATCAAGTAGATTAAACAGGCTATATGTGTTTTAAAGCAGTTATGTTGTGTTGCATAGACTATTTTCCTCGTCCATTGATTCATTTGCATTGCACATGACGATTCCATTGAATAACTGGTTATTTGTGTATGATTTTTAATGTGATCGTAGATCGCAGTTTCTGCCAAGATCACTTTTTGAAAGGTATATTCAAATAGTTTTACACAATAACATATTGATTGGCCTAATAGAATTTTTTTTTAAATCCTGTTGGTGACTTTTTAGGTTGTTCATATTAAATTATTTTTAAATGATTTCTGTAGAAGGGCTTCTAACCCATACTGTTCTAAGACCTTTTCAAAATTATAAACTGAAATGTTGCTTAACCCAGGGATTAAAAATATGTTAACCCAAGGTTAAGTAAAAACCAAAAAAAACAAAAAAAGAGCAGTGGCAGGTTGCTAGAAATTCTCTTTAAAATGCTATTATAAAATATATATTTATTTATTTTTTACTTACAAAAACAGATTAAATTATACTGTAAAGGTACATGTATTGTCCTTTTTAATGTAATTTTATTTTCATCATAAAGTAATATTTTGTTTTTATTGTGAATTACATGTAATTAATACTTTTTACAGTATTTACAGTAAAATTAAATTTTTGTTAAATCTAATACAACTTTATATGGTAAGGTAACATTTTTATTGTAACATTTTTACTTTGTTCTGTTAAATGTACAAACATTTTTACATTATAGGAAAAAGCTTAAATGTCTATGTTGTGTTCCGGGTTCATTTTGATCCAGAGAGGATTTTCTTTTTCCCCAAAAATTCTAGTTAATATCGGATCATTGGACTAAAACTTACTGACTTTGCTCACACATAACAACTTCCCAAAATGAATTTGTTTTTTTTTTTATCCCACCTTGTTGCACTTGTGGTGTTCCCAAAAACAATGCTTATAGAGTTCTGATATTATTATCAAATCAATCTTTTTATTAATGTTTTATTTCAATTAGTGCAGGTTTTGTAATTCTTTTTGGAACTGATTGATTGTAGGGCTCATCCGAACTATGCACCTCAGTTTTTTTGAGTATGCATCTCAAATTTATCCACAAATAATGGATTTTTTTTTCTACTCAAAAACTGAGATGAAATGAACAAGTTGACAAAAATGTTGAATCAAAGATTGAACAATAAAATAGCAATGGGAGATTTGCAAGCAATTTTCAGGGGCCGATCTACCGGGTTGGGCAGCATGGGATGCCAACTGCCACCCTAAGAAAAAGCATCGCCACCCCGTGTCGTGTGCCACCCCAGATTTATCCCAGGATCAAATATAAATGTAAGTAGTGTTTTTAAAGGATTTTAGCAGCTGCGCTTTAATATGATGACATAAAAAAATTAATAAGATCTCCCACTAAAAATTGGCATGAAAACACGGCTGCTGCATGGCTGCTCGCGCTGTGTAGTCAACTTCATGGAGACTCTTTACGAACGGCTTTTGGTGAGTCAGAAACACACAGCACAGTGTAGTCGGGTAGCCCAATTCACAAACAAATGGATTGTTTTCAATTATTATATAGCTACAAAATTATTTTCCGCAACGCTTTTCATTGTTTATTTTGACTTGCATCGTGAATATTTGCAGCACGCGGATTCTCCGAGTGCCCGCTCCAAAAAAAAATACAAAATCCCGATCACGGAAAATAAAAGCGGAGTTTGGTAAGAAATTTCATCTTAACTAGACTGACATTTTTTTAAAAGGAAAAACATTATGTTGGCTAATTGACAAGGTCTTTTCCTAAAATTTTAAATAGCTTGCACTTGCAGGTTAGGTGCTATATTGCATGTCCTGGCCTTCCGTTATGCCTACAGACGTTTCTACTTCTACTTCCACTAGAGGGAGCCAGAATCTTACTGGAGGGGCACAGGATAAGCTAAATTTTTATCACAATCTTTTTCTATTAGTTGCCATCTCTTTGAATGCAAATAAATGCATAGATTTAGTCCATTTGTATAAGTAGTATGGTGTACTGAAAATATAGTTTTATATAATTAGTGTACAGTGAAATCTATTAAATGTAGATGTAAATGTAGAAATGTTTATTTAGTTTTAATAGACCCTTAATACAACATTTTCAAGTTGCTAGACATTATTAAATATTATGATTAATGTTTCTGATTAATATTGTTATCCATTTAAAATGAAGAGACAGTTTTACTTCTTTTTCTTTTATTAGACACTTGTTTACTATTGTGGTATGAAAAATAAAGCAAACACTTAGCATTATTATACATAATTATAGAAATGAAAAATGAAAAGAGCCTTGAGATAAATGCTCCAGATAAAGTTTTGAGCTGCAAATATCTTCACATTCATTTAAAATTGACATCTTATGACATGCAGTTTGTCTAAATATAAAATGTTGAATAGAAGTCCACACTTACACTACATATATTATGATCGCATAGCTTATGACAGTAAATATGTTAAGAGGGCTATTTCTGACTTCTCCTTTAAACAGTAAGAGGGAGTGATTTATTTAGAAATTCAGCTGCCCTTTTTAACAGCTGTGTGTTGATGTAACCTGTTTCATCAAACCCTAACTTTCAGTGAAGACTCAAGATGGACTTTCCTGTAAAAACCACGTCATGAGATTAATTTCAGTTAGATCTCTAATCATGCATATGGGCCATTGGTGCTTGGACCCTGATGGTTACTCTTGTGGCTATATTTTGTTTTTAATTGTAGTGTAGATGTTGTATAAATGATATAATATAGATTAAGTATATATGATTGAGTGCTTGTTTGCATTGGTGTTGCCATCCCTCACAGTCCTCACGCCACCCCCTTGCCACACTAAACACAATTTTCTAGATACGCCCCTGAAAAGGCTGGTCATTTTTGACAGAGAAAACTAAATTAAATAAAGGATTTTCAGCATAGCACAAGGTTTTAAATGGAATAAGGTCAGTCATGAATAGCAAAACATCTTGGTCTCAGTCTTGATTGATCACCCAGCCCATCAGTGGCATCTTAACAAGACAGTGCAAGTTACAAACAAATGGAAATCTGTCCTTGTGTGTCATTGATCATCTGTGTTGCAGTAAAGGTCTTTCCACTGATGCATGTAAGAGTTTTGAATAATCTGCCTGCTTATGCTGATGTTATTCCTGTGCTGCTGATGCTTGGCAGTAGGCCTAGTCTCCATCTGACGGTGTGCAGAAATCATAATGGCAGCATTCTTAATTGTTGATGTAGAGCTTGATTCAGCTAGGCTTGGGTCTTTTCCATGCTTTATGGAAATAATACAGAGGAAAGAGTCACAAACACCCTTCTTTCATAGCATTTTCTTTTTGTTTGCAGGAGCCCAGGTCTGTGCTGTCATTAAAACCATTGCTAATTTCAGAAGATTTATGATCTTCATCTTGGTTTCTATTTTTTATTTTTTTTAATGCTCCCAGAGAAACGTTTGTCTCTGCTGAGCGTGGAGAGGTCATCTGTTTAATTACTCTGCCTGTCTGCTCATGAAAGCTTTATTGCTCATAGTGTCGCCGTGAGCACTGCAATTACAGTAATTAAACCATGGGGTATCTGTGTGCTCCTCTTATTTACTGCTCCCTGATCCAATCTGTCTTCATAGCTGTGAGGATATTTGTATAGTAAAATCCCCCTGACTACTGCTAGAGCATCTGTTGTTTTCTTTAAACAGCAGTTTTCATTCTGTGAGAAAATCCTTGTCATCTAGTTGCCCCATAAAGGCTGTCTGTCGGTTGTGAGTCACAGTTTCAAACATCACTCCACTGTCTCTTCGCACATCGTCACAACATGCTGGCTTTCTCTTGTGCTTTCTTTCCAGGCATTGCATAAACAAGCTCTCTCATCACCTTGGCAACAGGCTCTTATTATGTGCATCATTCTGTCCTGCACATTGCAGCTGTATTCCACATACAGATGCTTGTTCTGTCAAATGATTTATTTTGGCCTGCCACATTACAATAAACAGCATATATTGGCTGGATGGTGTGTGGGCTGCCGCTATATTATGCATAGGCATTGCTAAACCTGTGCTTGCTAAAGCTATCAGGCCTCTTAAATCTGTGATTATATAATCTTTCTTCACGTTTTCCGAAAACAGCCGCAGTAGAAAGATATAGAGCATGTTTCATTCGGAATCCTCTCCTTACTGGTTGTTTTAGTCAGTGTGTTGGAGCCATTCATATGTAATACTTCAGAAATGTGTCAATCTGAATTATCGAATTGATTCTGATATCTGTCTGCCCGTTTTTCTCTCTGACAGAGTGGTGAAATTCCGGCGTACAGGTGAAAGCATTCGCTCAGAGGATGAATATGGCGGCAGGGAAGAAGCTTTGCAGGTGGAGGGAGGACGGACGGATATGGAGTCTGTTTCCCTGGCCGATGGTGCTCCGGTTCCTCGGGAATTTGCCAACCCCACTGATGGTATGATTTGCCAATTAATATAGCTTATTGATCACCAGTTACATTTTTTTGTTAGAAAAGGTGTTTATTTTCTTTCTAAATGTGTCAACTTGTAATTGATGAATTCAATTTAGTTTATGAATTTAATAGATTTAAAAAAAAAATGTTTTTGTTAATTAAAGCTGTAATAAAGCAAATATTTGAAAAACATAAAGAAAATTAGAATTAAAATTGATTTTTTAAAAATGTTTTGTTAATTAAAGCTGTAATAAAACAAATATTTGAAAAACCTAATGAAAATTATAAATGCAACTAACTTAATTAAAATAAGTTTAAACTGAAGAACTAAAATGACTAAAACTGAAGTAAAAATAAATTCAACAGAAATATATAAAAAAACAAAACTAAAAGGAGAAGCACATAACAAAATGACTGAATTTTAAACTAAAACTAAAATGAAAATCGCAAATACAGTAATAAGAGCCCAATGACAAAATAACACTTGAGCATGTTAAATGCTTCCTATATACAGGATTGTTGACTGCATTATCAGACAGCTCACTGAACATCTGTAAGGATAAACTACTCTCCATATGTTGGTCTTTCAACAGATACCTTCATGGTTGAGGATGCAGTGGAAGCCATTGGCTTTGGGACATTCCAGTGGAAACTGTCCATACTTACTGGACTTTCATGGGTAACAAAATTTAAACAAAATGCACAGAGGGAATAATTGTTGTATCATCACAACACTATAATTACAAAGAAAGACACTGTATAAATTAAACATTTTATTTACAAATTAACACAGTATCGTTTTATAAGCTGTAAATCTTTAGCTGATTCTTTAGTCAGAAGGAGTAGTTGCTATATTTGTTTCCATATTGCCGATGGTTGAATTTGTGTGCAGATGGCCGACGCCATGGAGATGATGATCCTCAGTATATTGGCCCCTCAACTGCACTGTGAGTGGGCACTGCCCAGCTGGGAGGTGGCACTGCTAACTTCGGTACTGTACACTACTCCTCAAGTCAATAATGCCTCCCCTCATGCTTTTTTAGAGAGGTTTGGCAGTAGGATTGGTTTTCTCGTTCCGTTAAGCTTTGCATCATCAGCTGTTCCTAAATGTGTCTGCCTGAATAACCAGATTGACGTGTATGTAACGTGGAGTTTCTACCCTTCTCTGAAACAGGTAGTGTTCATTGGAATGATGATCAGTTCTTCATTATGGGGTAACATATCTGATAAATATGGGAGAAAAACAGTGAGTATGTAAATTAAAGAGAAGTATGTGCATGTCCAATGGCACAAATGTGATTTATATTCAATGTGCACCAGCAGGGAATGATTAAGATGTGTGTGTTTTTGGTAGGGTTTGAAGATGAGTGTATTATGGACCCTGTTTTATGGCCTCCTCAGTGCGTTTGCACCTGTATATGGATGGATCCTATTCCTCAGAGCTCTGGTGGGCTTCGGCATTGGAGGGGCTCCACAATCGTAAGTATGACACAGATCTAAATACACATACAACCATTTAGAAGTTTGGTGTCGATAAGATTTTTTAATGTTTTTGAAAGTCTTATTCTCATCAAGGCTGCATTTGATCAAAAATACTGTAAAGCAGTAATATTGTGAAATATTTACATTTAAACTATATTTTAATACATTTTAATACATCCTGTGAGAGTAAATTAAATTTTGGTGCATACGTTGCTAAATTTGGTGCTCAAGTAACATTTATTATAATTATCAATTTTGAGAATAGTTGTGGATATATTTGTTTTTTGTTTTTTTTCAGATTTTTTGTCAGAGTTCAAAAGAACAGCATTTATTTGAAATATAATTTTTTTAAACAATGTAAAAAATAATTTTATGCATCCTTGCTAAATAACTTTTGAATGGTAGCGTACAAGCATTCAATTAATTATGGTATGGAGAGTTTCAAGATGTTACCCTAACATTTAAGGTTCTTTTAATCTGTATGTTCTCCATTCCAATTTGCCATTTTATATAACAATATCATTGAATAATTAGAGACTTACATCAAACTTTTGGTCTCTCCTCTAAGAGTAACATTGTATGCTGAGTTTCTCCCCATGCGGTCCAGAGCCACTTGCATTCTGTTGATAGAGGTAATATTCTATTCTATTCTATTCTTAGATACAGATATCATAGCCCTGAATGATTAAATTGTTTCAGTTATAAATTGAACCAAAACATGGAGATCCTCATAACTATGATAGCTTGTGGATCTAGTCTAAATCTCTTTCAAATCTCTTTCTCTTTGATCTGCTGTAGATATTCTGGGCTTTGGGTACAGTATTTGAAGTGCTCCTGGCTATTTTGGTGATGCCAACTTTGGGCTGGCGCTGGCTGCTGGCCTTCTCCACCATTCCACTCTTCATTTTTGCTTTTCTTTGCTTTGTAAGTGTGAAGTTCTAAAATATCACTTTTGTTCTTTCTCTTAGAGCTAGATATGAATAGACCAAACTAGTTTTTTTGTGGTGTGAGCAATAAATCGTCTGAACAATAGACTAAGCATAATGTCAAATGCACATCAACAGTGGCTGCCGGAGAGCGCTCGTTACGACGTCCTGACAGGAAACCAGGAGAAGGCTTTAAACACACTCAAACGCATTGCTACAGAGAATAATGTCCCCATGCCGCTGGGAAAACTCATAGCAGCCAGACAGGTAAAATACTAGTTAAATATACTTGTGTATATTACTTTATTTATATAATTTATGCCATTTACGGCTTTCTTTACTTGGTCTTAATTTCTTGGAAAACAGTTAAAACGCTCATTATAATACAATAGCATTGAATCTGCATTGGTGTGTGAAAGTTTTCATGCATAAATTATTATTATGAATTATGATAATGAATTTTTCAAAATTTTTGGAATGAATAAATAAATACATACATAAATAGAACCGACTTAAACCACATGTTCATATTTTTGTCTATACCAAACTATTAGATAATATTATTTATACTACTTATATCATTATTCTTTTGAACTTTCTATTCATCAAAGAATCCTGAAATAAAAAATGGTTTCATGGTTTCTGCAAAAATATAACGCAGTACAACCCTTTTCAGCATTGAAGATAATAAGAAATGTTTCGCTGAAAACGTAATAAATTTAAAAATATATTAAAATAGAAAGAAATTATTTTAAATGATATAATATAATCTAATAATAATATTTCACATTATTACCATATTTATTCTCTCTCTCTCTATACATTTTGACATATTTTATCTCTCCTTATTTTGGGTATAATGGTTATTTTCTGTGTTCAGGAGGACAGGGGAAAAATTCAAGATCTTTTCTCTCCACACTTCCGTTTGACTACTATTCTGCTCTGGTTCATATGGTAAGATGGTCATACAAATTCCTATTAATAACTGTGTGAGCTCTCATTCAATCACCTGTCTGCATTCTTTATGTAGATGTCTACTGCTAAAGCTTAAAAGGACGTTTTGTTTTGATTTTTGTCACATCTCACTCTTTTTTTTCTCAATTTCACTCAGATATTTCACATTGTTTTGTTCTTGCTGCTTTCATTCATATTCTGTTTATTGTGTGCTTTCTGTTGCAGGTTCTCTAATGCATTCTCATATTATGGTGTGGTTTTGCTGACCACTGCACTTTTCCAGGAGGGAGGCGCCTGTGGTCGTGAGTGAAAGCTATTGTGTGTTTAAAAACAGACTGGAGTATAGTGAGAAAATAAGGGCTATGTAAAGAATAGAATACCATATTTATTCAACATATTTAATATGCTGTACAGTATAAATTGTATGCTGCCTCATATTTTTTTTTACAAACAGTATGTAAACCAGTGTGTTTAATATCATTTCAAACTAGAAGAATGCTAACCATACACAACCAATGTATTCTGTGTGCATACATTGGTCTTGTGTCTCCCCCTAGAGGCGAAGGGCAGTAAAATGGAGCCAGGTTGCAGCTTGGAGTGCAAATATCTGAATTCAGATGATTACAAAGACCTCCTATGGACCACACTTTCTGAGTTTCCTGGTATACATTTGTATTATAATGCCATTAAAGGAATAGTTCATCCAAAAATGAACATTTACCCACTCTCAGGTTATCCAAGATAGAGGGTACGAAGGTAGGTAAATTTGGAGGTAAATTTGTTTCTTTAACAGAACAGATTTGGAGAAATAAAGCATTACATCACTTGCTCACCAATGGATCCTCCTCAGTAAATGGGTGCCTTCAGAATGAGAGTTGAAACAGCTGATAAAAGCATCACAATAATCCACAAATAATCCACATGACTCAAGTTCATCAGTTAATGTCTTTTGAAGTGAAAAGCCATCTTTAGGATGTTTTTAACTTCAAACCATTGCTTCCAGCTAAAATAGGGGTCCTCTATACATAAAACTGATTTCTCCAGAGAAAAAGTCATCTTGTCTTAATCAGGAGAGAAATATGCACAGATCAAACACCATTAACAAGCAAAAACAGTCCAAAACAATTCTAAACAAATGTCAGTGTATTCTGAGATAGACTGAGAGAGTCGTGAGGATTACTTGTGGATTATTGTGCTGTTTTAATCCACTGTTTGGACTCTCATTCTGACGGCACCCATTCACTGCAGAGGATCCATTGGTGAGCAAGTGATGCAATGCTAAATTTCTTTGAATCTGTTGAAGTAACACAAATGAAGAAACAAACTCATCTACATTTCGGCAAATGTTCATTTTTTGGGTGAACTACTCCTTTAACATCTCATTTTTAAATAATGTATGGCAGGCAAAAAGAAAATGTGATGAACATATTGATTGATGCATCACAGGCCTGCTGGTGACCCTGTGGGCGATTGATCGATTAGGGAGGAGGAAGACTATGGCACTGTGTTTCTTTGTCTTCTCTCTCTGCATTGTACCACTCTATGCCTGTGTGGGAAGGTCAGAAATCACATCTATTACTGCCATTTTTCCAGGGCATTCAAGCCTGTTTTAATCACATATGTGACCATACTGTGAATAACTACATTCCCTATATTGCAGGACTTCTTTGACAGTATTTATATTCATTGCGAGGGCTTTCATCGCTGGAGGTTTCCAGGCTGCATATGTGTACACTCCTGAGGTGAGAACTCTTTTCAGTTCATTTCTGTTATTTAATTTTTATTTTTTGGAAGAAGTGAGGCTCAAACGGAAGCTCTATCATTCTTTCCCCTGTCAAAGGAATATGAAATAGAATCACAGGAAAATTTGACACTCAGATCAATTGAAAGGAGAGTAAAGCCTGTAGACTGTCAGTGTAGTGTTAAACGTTTTGCTCAAGGCAACAGCTGTGCTAAAAAAGGATTTTGACCTTGGGAATGTCCAGTTCCTGGCTCACTCCCACCACTTGGCAGACATTGCAACAACGTACCTGACATAAAACAGGCCACTTTGTCATCCTACTTTTCGTGAACTACTGGAGTTCTTCTCCAGATACAGGATTGAAGGGTTGAATATTACGCATAGTGTCTGTAGGTTGTCTTTTTGTAAAGGTCATTGAGGTCATTTTATTGCATACCGTAGTTACTTAAAGGGGTCATATGATGCTGCTAAAAAGAACATTATTTTGTGTATTTGGGTGTAATGAAATGTGTTTATGCGGTTTAAAGTTTAAAAAACACATTATTTTCCACATACTGTTCATTATTATTTCTCCTCTATGCCCTGCCTTTTTGAAACGCGTGGATTTTTACAAAGCTCATAGGTCTGAAAAGCGAGGTGTGCTGTGATTGGTCAGCTATCCAGTGCGTTGTGATTGGCCGAATACATCAAGTGTGTGTCGGAAATGTTACGCTCCTCACCATACTGTTGATGCCGTGTCCCGGCCGGAGCGACGAGACAAAAACATTAAAACCCATTACAAACGAGGCATTTGTTGCATCCAGTGAGGGCATAATTACTGATTATAATGACTTATACTGTCTTTTTACGCGTCGCGTTGCATTGAGCCGCGTAAACATAAAACCCTGTCTGCATTTGTGATCGGAGAAATGACAAACAATAAGTGCTACTCTACACTGCCCAAAACTCGTGTTTGAATCATCAGTGGCATTTGAATCATCAGTGGCAAATCCTTTAAATGAAAACGTACTTACAGAATGTGAGTCAGAACTGCCGCCATTGTAGGCAATTCTCCCAGGATCAATAACGGCAACAATACTACAGTGAGAATAAAAGTTACGCCTTCTTTCTTTGCGTGAACATTTGGGCGGTGTTATGCAAATCTTCCCACATCGTGACGTAGGTATGTGGTGGCGTGTTAGAACGAGCCGTTTTAGGTAGGCGTGGTTAACTATTAAATTTGATAAAGAATATCTCTTTGGATTTGAGACTTTAGTCTTTGCAACTTTACAGATCTTCTTTATGCACCAAGAGCTTGTAACACTCCAAAGAGAAAGGAAAAATTGAAATCGCATCATATGACCCCTTTAAGATTGTAACCTGAGGCAGTTTTGCTAACTACATTAATCTTTTTTCTGTGATATTTAACTGGTTTTGAAAGTGTTTACAGCATAATAGCATGCTGAAAAAACTTTAGTGAATATACATGGATCCATGTAGGTCATGTAGGTCCATTCACTAACCACCCTGTGGTTAAGTAATAGTTCAATATTCAATGAGAAGATCATGGTTATAAATCACTCAATATCTCTCTCTCTGTCTTTTGCAGGTTTATCCCACAGCAACCAGGGCACTGGGTTTGGGCACCAGCAGTGGGATGGCTCGGGTTGGTGCTCTCATCACACCATTTGTGGCACAGGTGTGGAAACAATAACCTGAAACGTATAAAAGACATACAGAATAATGTTATACTCTAAATATACTCTAAACATAAAATGCACAATAACTGAACAACAACAAATATGATAGAAATTTGGAGATACAATATACCTTTTTTAATACTTCAAATGTCTTACATTTCTTGTAAAACAGTCAAAACACTTCCTATAATACAACAGCTATGAATCTGTGGCAGGTTGGGCAAAAGCTCTGATATGTTGAGCTGTGATGCTCGTGTGGACAACATAATTTTGGGGTCTCATTCAATAACTGTTCAATAACTGTTCATATGTGTGTAAATGTTTTCAGAAATGATGGTTCATTAGTAAGTTTGTACATAACATTTTTAAATTCACAGAAAAAAAATACTAGAACCAACTTAAACCACATATTTGAGTTCACATTTTTGCATATACGAAACTTTAAGATACTATTATTTATACTATATTATTCTTTTGAACATTCTATTCGTCAATGAATCCTGAAAAAATTGGTTGTGGTTTCTTTAAAATGTTAAGCAGCGCAACCATTTTCAGCAGTACTACTAAGAAATGTTTCTTGAGCACCAAATCATCCTATTAGAATGATTTCTGAAGGATCATGTGACAAACTATTTTCCTGTTTGACACTGTAAAGCGCTTTGACACAATCAGTATTGTATAAAGTGCTATATAAATAAAGGTGACTTGACTTGACACTGAAGACTGGAGTAATGGCTGCTGAAAATTCAGCTTTGCCAATCCAGGAATAAATTAAATTTTTAAATACATTAAAATAGAAAAGTTATTTTAAATTCTAATAGTGTTACGCAATATTACTGTTGTTAATGTATTTTTGATTAAAAAAATGCGATCTTGATGAACATAAGAGATCTCTGCTTCCGTCCTCAAGGTGATGCTGGAATCTTCTGTGTACCTGACTCTGTCGGTGTACTGTTGCTGCTGTTTGCTGGCTGCTATTGCTTCCTGTGCCCTGCCCATAGAGACATTTTTAAATATATTAAAATAGAAAATTTATTTTAAATTCTAATAGTGTTACGCAATATTACTGTTGTTAATGTATTTTTGATTTTAAAAAATGCGATCTTGATGAACATAAGAGATCTCTGCTTCCGTCCTCAAGGTGATGCTGGAATCTTCTGTGTACCTGACTCTGTCGGTGTACTGTTGCTGCTGTTTGCTGGCTGCTATTGCTTCCTGTGCCCTGCCCATAGAGACCACAGGACGAGGCCTCCAGGAGTCCAGTCACAGAGAGTGGGGTCAGGAGATGATGGGACGGGCCTCAGACCACAGCCCTGGAGGGATTCCACATTCCAGCTCTGGTTCACAGGACTAAGGAACACCACATATAGGTTTGGAAAGACATAGTAGAATAAATTGTTCTTAGTTTGAAGTGGGGAATCTTTTCTGTAAAAAAGCAATGTGTGTCCACAAAGGAATAGCAGATTTGTTGATTTTAAGAACTGCTTGGTTTTGATGTAAATCAGTCCATCAATGACATTCCTCCACCAAAGGTTGCAAGGTTTCTTTTTATGAAACTCTGGACCAGACAATTAGAGTGGAATAGATTCACATCACATAATACTCCCCTTTTGCCCTATTCCCCAAGGAAGTACAACAGGAAATGGGTTGAAAATGGATCTAAAGCATGACAAATTGCATTATGCAGTTTAACACATGAAATCACTCTCACATGTTCAAAAGGTCTGAGGAGCATTTGAACAACGAAAGATTTGAACCTGAAGTCTTGAAGTTGAAAGATAGCACAAGAGAATGTGTGTTTGCAACAGGTTTAGTATGACAGCGAGTAGAAAGATAATTTGTTTTATTTTTTTATTTTTAAAGAGGGCCTTACACTTTACTCCCAGCATTCCTTTGGGAAAGTCATGACAACTTTAATCTATTAATCGAAAGAAAGACAGGATGCTGCTATAAATCAGACATTGCACCAGTTTGTGGTGTTATCTTGCTTTTTTCAAAGAACCATTTACCATACTTAATTGTTAATTGTTAGCCATTCATAGTTTTAGACTTTCACTGACACCAGTGACGTATCTAGTGGACACCAAAGTCTTCATTTCACAAAACTCAGCACTTGAGAGCACCTCTCTTCGTCCTCTCACCGGCTGCCAACTGCAATCACTCATATAAAGTGTATAAATTCCAGTTGATCCCTTATAATCAGGCATATCAAAGGTTATTGAATAATTATAATCTTAAAATACAGCTCAATAAGAATAAAACAATAGCAAGCGGCTTTCAACAGTACAGGCCTTTGGGTCAGATATATTTTATTACTGTCTATTCTAGCACAACAGCCTCCAAGCACATTTTTCAAACAATGGCTTGCATCAGAACACACAACTTGAACATTTAGCAACAATCTTAGTTTTTTTCAGCACAACCGCTCAATGCTATATTCGGTTATTGGTATTTCTGCCTTTTCAACTGTACAGTGGGTATGTGTGTGGCATGATGGGAAGCGTGCAGTTGTTCCTGTGAGTGCAGAGAGTTGCCTGTCTTTTGCGATTTAGTGCCGTGTTTTGTGTCTGTGTGCACAGATCTCTTGCCACTGCACTGGATGTATATGTATGATAACAATAAATTATGCTTCAAGAAAAAGAAAGTGAGTGTATGTATATTTATTATAGATTAGTGGAGATAAATGTAGACAAAATGTATTTAGTTCTGGAGATTCATTATCTCTTGGAATCAGTATGACAATGGTTATTAGATTAGCGAGAATAAAATTTATACTGTATATAACATCCAGAGGCCCAGATCTATTAGAGACGTGATTTAGAGTGTGCTAGCAGGCCTTTCTGCTCCAGGATCTGACCAAAGAGACGAGCAGCTTCCTCAGCACATCCACGATGGATGGTCAGTCCAAAACCTCCATGTCCGTAGTTATGAATGACCTGAGGTGAATGAAAACAACATGGTGTGTTAAAAAAGAATCATGAATCTACGGAGCCCTAAAGGGACATGATGATGGAAAAAATATGAGATGGAAGGGAATATGATACTGAACACTCGAAAAACGTTTGCGTTTGCTTAGAAATCTTGTGCATTAGAAGCTGTCTTTTTCATGAGTTTGTGTCAGTACATCATAAATAGGACGAGTGTTTACAGAATCAGAATCAATACTTGCAAAGCATTAATATATTTTTTTGCCTCCCATCTCATATTATTTCCATTACCAGTTTTGTGAGCAAATGCTAAAGTTTTGCAAGCGAATTCAATGGTTCTTGTGGTTCTAAACTTGAAGGTGCAGTAGGAGATCTTGGAAAATGCTAACTTTAGCCTATAGCACTGAAAGCGAACATGTCACCCTCCCTGCAATCGCCGTCCAAAGCCACGCCCCCTGAACGCATATACGCTCACAGACCAGAATACCAGAGACAACATTACTACAATAGGCTACATCAGCGGTTCCCAATTACAGCCCATGTTCCGAAGTGAAGTAAACTTCAACGGATTTCCCCTGCTCAGGGAGGAGGGAGCAATGAACACTGTGTAGGGATCATATGGATCGGAACACAATTCATGCACATAGCTCACTTCTAACGACCTGGTTATCTGAATTGCGAGGACTGGAATTGGGAACCGCTGGGCTGCCTACATCATGTGTCATTCACCGGTGAGAAAACTTTAAAAGTACTACAATACCAGGAAGGAAGATCGGGTTGTTGATGTTTGTCTGCCATTCTCGCTCTGTCTGCACAGCGTGCGTGAACGCGCTGATGACGTATCCTGTCTGCACGAACCGGGTGCACAGAGGTATGCAGATACATACGTTGACAGGCAGGTAGGAAAGTCAATTAAAACGCTCGGACTGAGCGTTTTGATTGGATGAACATTTCTTGGTCCTACGCCTTCCACAGAATATATAAATACAGATAAATACATTTAGACAACTTTACTTAATGATTGCTATCGGGATGTGAAGAGACTTTCAACCAGCATAACAAAAAAAATGTTTCTGAAGACAATCACCTATTGCACCTTTAACAAACTTAAAGAAATTACCTGAAAATAAGTTGAAGTTCTAAAATTACTAATATTAAAACTGAAATAAAAATAAAGATAAAAATAAATTAAAGCTAAATAGGTTACAAATTTTATCGCATTGCTTTTGCCTTAACTTTTGTACTAACTTTCTAATCTCTCCCCCGAGAAACTCGCAAAAGCATTACAATTTTAAAATAGTTTTTTTCTCCCATTTCATATAATTTTATCACCAGTTATGCAAGTGAATGCAATGGTTCCTGGGGGAAAGCAAAAGTTTTGCAAGCGAAGGCAAAAGCACTGTAATATTTTTTCCTCACATCTCATTTTTTCCAATAGCATGTCCATTTAGGGGCTCTGTATTAATCATACTTCATCTTGGCTATTTATGGCAATCTTTCTTCATTGAAAGATGGCATCAGATCTTCAGTGTAATGATCATTCTATGAGCTCACCTCAAACGAGATTGGTCCAGACCGTATGGTCTCTCTCTCTAATCTAACTTTGCTGCGCGTGGGCCTGAGACCAGTCCAGTCCTCTACAATCCGTGCATGCTAGAGAGGAAAAAAAAGAGATCGAATCCACTCATGCTACTCGAACAAACACTAATTTAATTGAGGCTAAATGGCTGAAACGACCTGTAGACTGGGCTCAAGCTTGCAGGCAGCTTCCCAGATTCCTTTATGGTCAACAGAACTGTTCTGCAGATTCCAGTTTCCTACTTGGAAAACTCCACCCACAGTGACTAAACGACTCCTGCAGACACAAAATTACCAGAGGTAATGTACATCACTGCTAAGACAAGACTACATTGCACCTCATTATAAACACGACAATGGTTGTGTTATTAAGTGTTATTCTATTATTACATACTATCATAGTATTTATTCATATTTTAATTTAGCTTTTATTTTATATTTTCAGTTTTCTTTTTAATTTTAGTTTCAGCAATATTATGTGCCTTTGTCGTTTTTATTTGTTTATATTTCTATTTAGCTTCAATTTATTTTTTAGTTTTAGTCATTTTGCACTTTAAATGATTTTGTTTCAGTTAGTTGCCAATTTAAGTTTTTTATCTACTATTTATATTTTATTTTATTTCAGCTTTATTTCAATTACTGGAAAAACAGTACAGTGTCATCATAAAGAGGCTTACCCAGGAATGATGTACGGTGAGTTATAAACTCCTGATGAGGAATCATGTGTGAGGATCCAGTGTTTCAACCAGGGAGCATCTACCTGTTGATATAAAAAGCATGAGATCAAAACAGTTCATTGTTAAATGTTTATGCCTGATTGACTTTTATCCACTAAACCTAACCTTAATGATCTGTCCTCTGCCTGGCTAGAGCTCAGGATCAGGCTGAAGGTCTCCTGATCGGACACCGGAGCAGTTGATGATAACATCAGCACCACTATCTGCCAGCTGGAGCCCATTTTTGAGGTCATTACAAATACACACATTTTGTGATTAAAATTAACAGCATAGATGAGGAAAGCAGAATCTCAACATTAATTAAATTAAATTAGTGAATCTGCTTATGTTAAAAATAGTATTAGTTAACCAGATGCTACACTTTTCTTAATTATTTAAACAATAAAGTTAACATGTACACTACCGTTCAAAAGTTTGGGTTAGCTAAGACTTTTAATGTTCAAGTCTCTTATGCTCACAAAGGCTGCATTTATATGATTTAAAATGAAGTAAAAGCAGTAATATTGTGAACTATTATAACAATATTATTATTGTAATATTAAAACAAAATAACAGTTTTTATATATTTTAATAACTGTTTAAATATATGTTAAAATGTCATTTATTCCTGTGATGACAAAGCTGAATTTTCAACAGTCATTACTCCAGTCTTCAGTGTCACATGATCCTTCAGAAATCACTCTAATATGCTGATTTTTCATTTCAACTGTCACTTTAATATGTTCAGTATAATGTGATCAATTTAATACGTTTTAGATTATTTGAATGTTCTCCACTGAATGAAGATACTACTGAACTTTTAATTTAAAAAGATAAATGAAAATGAGAAAGGAATTGCTCAAACCTCTTTAAATGAACCAATCTTCCTCTGATAAAATCTGACCTTTCTTTGTCTTAACCTGCAGAAAACACAGAAATGTGACCAAGGTGTCAAAGATACTGTTAATCATTGTTAGACCAGAAAAGATTCATACTGTAAATGAGAAACACATTCACAACAGATTTTACATAACTATATAAATGCACAATGGTTATTCTGATGCATATACAGCAAAACAAAAGAATAAGAACATTCAGGTAAAAATTCAACACACACACACACACACACATATGCATGTATAAGATGTGTAGACACATATACATACACCTAGAAATCGAAATGTAACATATTCAATTTAAGTTAAAACGCTTATTTGTAAAATGTAACAATTTCCAAGCTTAAATTACATTTTGAATTTCAGATTTCATTGTGGACTTGAACTCCACTGTATATTCTATTTCATTCCCATTCTAATTTTGGTTACTGATTAGATAACAGGAATCTCTCACCAGTCCATAAGCCAGGGCAGGTATGTCTTTCCTTCAATCATCAGAGCAGTGTTGAACCACCCAAAACTGAAAAGATAAAGGTAAAAGGAAAAGTGATAACACTACATTTACAAATACATTTTATTATCAAATACATTTAAATACATTCAATTTGATTCAAAATCTAAATAATTGCTACAACCCCCAAAGGGTAAAACAAAATTGATTCTGAAAATTTAAAATCTGAAAAAACTATGAAGAAATAACTTATGATGAGATGCAGGTGATAAGTACCTGTATCCTGGGAACATGTCTAGTTCACGTTTAGTCA